AAAGAGAGAAAGAGGGAAAGAGGGAAAGAGAGAGAGAGAGAGAGAGAAAGAAAGAAAGAGAGAAAGGGAGAAAGGGAGAAAGAGAGAAAGGGAGAAAGAGAGAAAGAGAAAGGGAGAAAGGGAGAAAGGGAGAAAGGGAGAAAGGGAGAAAGAGAGAAAGAGAGAAAGAAAGAGAGAAAGAGAGAAAGAGAGAAAGAGAGAAAGAGAGAAAGAAAGAGAGAAAGAGAGAAAGAGAGAAAGAGAGAAGAAGAGAGAGAGAGAGAGAGAGAGAGAGAAGAAGAAGAAAGAAAGAAAGAAAGAAAGAAAGAAGAAAGAAGAAAGAACGAAAGAAGAAAGAAAGAAGAAAGAAGAAAGAAAGAAAGAAAGAAAGAAGAAAGAAAGAAAGAAGAAAGAAAGAAGAAAGAAAGAAAGAAAGAAAGAAGAAAGGAAGGAAGGAAGGAAGGAAGGAAGGAAGGAAGGAAGGAAGGAAGGAAGGAAGGAAGGAAGGAAGGAAGGAAGGAAGGAAGGAAGGAAGGAAGGAAGGAAGGAAGGAAGGAAGGAAGGAAGGAAGGAAGGAAGAGAACTTTTGATAACTTTTTTTTGGTCGCACATTTTCAAGTGCAGTGGTTTTATCTGTAACTTCCACCCATGTTGAAGCCTGTGGCTTGAGTGTGCTTTATAGGTGGTAGTAGCAAGCAGGACTACAGCTTTTTGCATACCCAGGCAAAGCTTGAGGAGGAGTCAAGAAGCAATCAACAAGACGACTGTTGCAAAAAAGTGGTGGGAAGTGTACCAGAAGGATCTTCAAAGCCCACACAAGTCTCCTGATTTGAATGAAATGGCAATCATTATGGGGTAGCTGTTACAGCATCTGCATTACAATCTGTGTTACAACTTCACTTTTCTTTCTCATGTCAAAGCTTGTTTCTTTGTTCTTTTATTCATCAAGAACCATAGAATTACCTTCCACTCTGCCCCAGACCTCCCGAACTCCAAGCATGGGTTTTGTCCTGTGCCTTTCCGTGGGCCCACCTGCACAGAGAAGTCTTGCAGAGTGGTCACGGCATGTGCACCCATTGTCTGCTAATTAAACAGTAACATCCTGACTTGCTGATGGCACTTACATTTTACAATAGCTTGGAGAGATTCTGGGACCATTTTGGAACATATTCCTGTTTTCTGCATTCCAGCAACCCTTGGTATTGTCCACGTGGTGTCCACAAGGAATGTCCCGTCCTGCTGCTGGGAGAGACATCCCTCACAAACAGGCCAGGAAACCAAGCCACCCCCTACAGAGAAAGGAATTCTCATCAATGTTTTTTTGTCAACGACACAGTTTGTAGATGATAAAAAAAATGAATTTCCTCAAGGGGTGAGAGGCCTTGCAGAGAGATATTGATGGATTAGAGCTCTGGGCAATCACCAGCTGTGTAAAATTGAACAAGAACAAATGCTGGATTCTGCACCAGGGAAGGTGTAATCCTGAACGTACGTATAGACTGGGGGACAAGTAGCTGGACTCAGCCCTGCAGAATAGGATCTAGGCAGTTTGATTGATGAGTCAACAATAGGCTCTGGTGGCCATAGATCCGACCATATCCTGGGCTGCATTAAACACAGTCTGGCTAAAAGATGGGGTTGTCCTACTATGCTCAGCATTGCTGTGGCCTCACTTCAGGTACTGTGTGCAGTTTGGGGCTCCACAGTGTAAGAAGGACATAAACGTATTAGAAAGTGCCCACTGGTGGACAACAAAGATGGTAAAAGGTCTATAGTGGAAGATGTATGAGGAGCAGCTGAGGTGCCTTGGTTTGCTCAGCCCAGAGCAGAGCAGACTGAGGGGAGGTCTCATGGCCTCACGAGGGGAGCGGAGGGGCAGGCGCTGAGCTCTGCTCTCTGGGGACAGTGACAGGACCCAAGGGGACAGCATGGAGCTAGGACAGGGGACAGTCAGATCCAATATTAGGAAAAGGTTCTTCACCAAGGTGGTGGTTGGGCACTGAAACTGGCTCCCTGGGGAAGCAGTCATGACCCCAAGCTTGTCCGTGTTCAATAAGCATTTGGACAATGTTCTCGGATATTTGGTTATCTCTTAGGTTGCCCTGTGTGGAGTCAGGAGTTGGACTTGATGATCCTCGTGAGTCCTTTCCCACTTAGGAGAATCTATGATTCTGTGCCTGAAGGTCTGTCTTGCAGCTAACCATGCTTGTGTACTTTTGCACAACCCCATCTTCCATATTCTGTCCCAGGAGCCCAAGCACTTGTCTTCTCCTAGGCATCTATTCAAGCTTCATTCCAGCAAGTGTTTGGCAAGGTCCACACAGTTCCACAGGCATATTTGCCATGGCTCTGGGAGGGAAGCCTTCGCTATAAACTTCTGTTCCCAAATATCTGCAGATGTGCTTCCTCGATCATTTATGTGAGAGGCTCCACACAACATAAGCAAAGTGCAGGATGGAGTTTTGCAGCTGGACACATCACAGCCCTGGAAGAGGTTGTCCATACATGGCCCCCTGACGAGAGGGGGGAGACACAACCAAGTCTTTGCCTTCCTGCAGCCTGATGAGCATCACAGTGGGGTTGAGCAGGCCTCTCACAACCAGCTCAGCTGTGGTGGGGATGGCTGTTCGGGGCAGGAGGTGGTTGTGCCCTGCTAACATCCAGCAGCACTGAAGAATTCCGGCTGCTGGGAAAACAGCAAGGTTATGAAACGGGGCCATGAGAATCCTTACCAGGACCTCCTCGCTTTGCCTGGGAGCTGTATTTAAGCTTGGGTTCTCATCCTGAGCTTAAAAGCACAGTCTCTTCACAATGGGGTATCACTAGTCCTCTTCAGCCAACAAGAAAATGAGTCACATAGGCATGCCTTGCCCAGCTTCAGGATACAGGCAGTGGCAGGAGAAAGCCCCACCCCACCCCTTGATTAGTTTTTCATTCATCGCTATCTATTTACTCTTCTCCAAGTAAAGAATATGTGAAGACATGACCCTATACAATCTTGAACACATTGCTAAGCAAAAAGGCTTGATAAATAACAGCACATTTGTTGCTACTTACACGGTAGATTAAACGTAGTAAAGATAATTCTGCCGTGCCCTGTTCCCCAGGCTAACAAACAAAAGTGTATTTCCCAATACTTCTGTAAGTAGCGCAGTAATTGCCCTTTGTACAAACATCTGGATGGGTGTGAACACCACCGAGGCTGCAGTCACTGATAGTGGAGAAGCTGAGATCATGTGCAGGAAAGCTGCCTCTGACTCCTTCCAAGACAGAAAGATGGAAAGCATCTGTATGTGATATACGGTTGTCAGAGAGTCAATGGGACAGGTTATACAGCAGGGCCTTCCACCACTAGCACTGTTGGACTCCGAAGCAATTTATTAAAAATAATTGCTTTTGCTCATTGCAGGATTCAGACCATGCAAGAATGTCTCAGCACAAAGCTGTCCGAATCCCTGAGCCTGTCAAAGTCCCTTCCTCAGCTGAGCCTTGGGGACAGCAGCACTTGTGATGAAGCTCCATTGCCAGCCTGACAAAGCTGGTTTTTTTTTCTTCTGTGCAGGTTTGCTCCAGGCTGGACTTCGACCCCCAGAGAAGCAGTGCTTGTTTAGACTTCAGTGGTCAACAATCCAGCGTGGGGCCCCAGAGCAAAGTCAACATTATAACATAACAGCTGTAAAACAGCCGAAAGCTTCAAAAACAACATGACACAGCAGAAATAGGAGATTTAAAAGGTTATATTTTATTTCTGGTGTTATCTGGTTCTGAGTCACAATGGAGGTTTCTAGCATGCTGTGTGGCAATGATGCAGAAGAGGAAAACCAGAGTAAGTCTGCTACACAAAGTGGAAGAGCACTGCACTCCTCTGCAAACAGTGTGTATCAGCAAGTATAGCTGTGGTCTGTGGTCATAAAAAGAAAGTGAAAATAGAGAAAAGGGCATTGAAAAGAACTATTGGGGCTGGAAAGCCAATCCCACAAACTGGTAGGTGTGCTGAGGCAGGGGGAATTGACAAAATCTTCAGTGAGAGATCAGCCTAAGACAAAACTCATGCGGGGAGACAGCTGGAAAATCCAGAGATTTGTGCTGGTGGTGAGCAGCAGAGGAATTTTGCACCAAGAAGATGGAAAGTACGGCCCTAGATGGCTAGCAAAGCAGGAACAGGATGCTGGTGCAGAAAGTAGTATGGGGCTACAAAAAGGGGAATTATCATGAAAGAAAAGCTACAAAAAGCAGAAGAGAGAAGGCAAAAGTCTAGTCTTGGTAGTGACGAGATTGTCTTCGTAAGTGAATGAAATGTATGAGTGCCTAACAAGGTGGTGTTGTACCTGTATGCAAAGATTTATGAACAGCAGCAGCAGAACTAAACAAAAAAGTTATCAGGGAACATTTGTCCCAAGGTCCAGAAAGGCAAATGTTGGATATTGCCTGATGACAAACATTGTTTTTTATTCCATGTGCTACGCAGGACACTGTATTTGTGTGCATTTCTTACATATCGTTTGGGTTTTATCTCAAGATTTACCCCAAGCAAGCAAAATAGTAAATTTTACTCAAAGGAGGTGGAAGCAGGTGCAGGTATGCTAACAGAGCTTGCTGCAGCAGCAGAAGGTGGCTGGGGCTGCTCCAGGATACAGGGAGAAGTTTATGCCCGATCCAGCTGGAAAAGAAAGCCTATTAAAAAGACTGAATATCTTCTGCTGAGATGCTGAGGTAGGATGTGCAAAATTCAGCTCTCTCACAGACATGTGCATGGCAATGGTATTTCAACACCACCACAGCAGAAACTGAGAATTTCTGTCTGAGCTTGGCAAAAATTAAGTGGAGTTTTCCATTGTGATTTGTGGCATGCCTGTACTTGCTAATCCTGTCCTTAAAACAGTTACTGCTGCACGGGTTCTTGGTAAACAGGCCTTTTGGAAAAGGAAAACTCAATGTTTTATTTACAATTAATGTTTAACACATCTGGGAAATAATTGATCACACTGCCAATAAGAGTATTTCTCAATGGCCTGAATGAGGTCCAAGCTGATTTAACAAAAAACACACGTCTGTCTTGTTCTGGATTAAAACGTGCTGTGACAGCCTGAGCCAAGCCTGGGGGAAAGCCTGGTGAGAGCAGGCTAGGAGCAGAAGATGCAGTCTCTTGTGCGTCTGGACCATCGTGCCCTCCATTAAGCTGCCCAAACGTGAGTGCTGGCACAGGGGAGGTGGGAGATGAATGAGGCAGGGCAGGACTACCTGCCTTGGTGGCACCATGTGGCTGGCCCAAGGGGCAGAGGGGTCCCTGGGGTGCAACGTTGGCACAGCAGAACTTTGGAGTAGTTTTGGCAGTGTGGCTGGGAGGAAGCGGGTCTGGTTGATACTGCTGCCAAGACAACCCATGGGAGAAGAAAATGTGGCAGCAGTGTTTGTGGCTCCCATGCTGCCCATCTACCCAGCAGCCTGTGCCCATGGCTCTGGGTCTGAGTGCTCGAAAGCAAGGGGCTGCCACGGGAAATGTCTTCACCTGCAGTGGAGCTGGGTGCAGTGACACTGGAGGGGATGGGAACACACGGTGTGCACCCACACCAGTCCCAGAACTGCCAATCTGTAACGCCTCACTTGAGGAACTGGGCAGCACTGGGCTTCACTGGTGGTAGTGCAGAGCCATCTGTGCCCCACTGCTATGAGTGATGTAGGCCAAGGGGCTTTGTCCAAGACATTTATCTTTGCAGGAGAATACCCTCGGCAACCGAGCCCTTCGTAGCCCTGTTGCAAAAGATCTGCTCAACTGGTGGAAAATGGAAAGAAAGAGGAAGTGAAAAAGAAAAGAAAAGAGGCAAGAGGATTCAGCAGTAAACATTTTTAGCCACTTCTGACCCATTGCCCTGTAGGACTTCAGAAAGCCCAGATGATCTGAAGGACTTCTGCACAACTTTGCAGGCCATGCTCACTCAGCCCAAATACCAGGGTGCTGCCACTGGTGACGAAGCACAGAGAAAGGTCCAAAGAGGTCACCTGTTGACAAGACGTTAGCCTTTTATTCCACAACCTTCTGAAGAGAATGGCTTTACGGAACAGAATCCACACACAGGATTTGGATGATGACTGCAAGGTCCAACAAGTGCACGAGGCAGAGACATGGGCAAGCATTTGCAATAATCAGGCTGTTAATCAATGACTTCCTCTTTAATCCTGAAAACAAACTAGAAGTTGTGAAATGCAGGGACACAATACGCAATAACGTGATCTAATCTGCAAAGTGACAAGGCTGAGAGTGGAAGTCCTGACAAGAGCAATGGCTCCAGCATGGCCAAAGTGGTGGGATGGTCACTTAGATTAGTGCACTGCGAGGCAGCATCCAAAGTGCATGAAGAGCAAAGTGGTGACCTGCAGGCTGTGCAGGGTCCACCTCCTTCTGCAAGCAGGCCATGCTGAATTTCCTCCACAGGGCCTGAATGGGACAATCAGTGATGGGGCATTTGCTTGGAAGACAGAGGAGAGCAGTGAAAATCAGCTCGTGGCCATGTGAGGCGTGACCTGACAGAGGTAACCAAGGGAAGGGGAATGAGACCAGCCTGTTTCAGTTGTTCCACGGCTACAATCTGCAAAGTCCACCTAGCCTGAAGGATGCTCGTGAAGATGATCGGTACCTGACCCATGGGGTATCCATCCTGCATCCCTCCCACTTGTTTCCTCTCTCCTCACCCAGCACCCACCCTCCTGGAAAGGGTAGCCATGAGTTACTGGGTTATGGGGCCACGTTTCACCAGAAAACCAGTTTGCCATAAAAAGCTGAGTGATTTTGGCCCTTCAGTAAGGAGAGATGGCTCCCAGCCAGGAACTGTGTCCTATAGAGTTCAAAGAGCTGGAGAGATTGCACCTAGAGCCAAGGGTTTGTGCAAGCCCCGTGTGGGTGGGGTGGCAGCTCGACACACTATAAGAAGCATTAGGGAACTGAACAAACAATGAACGTTGGAGCAGAGGCAGGAGAAGCAATATGGGAGAGCTTCGTGTCCGCTCCGTTCTGGTGACTGGAGCCAACCGAGGAATCGGCCTGGGGTTAGTCCGGCACCTGCTGGGGCTGCCAAACCCACCCGAGTGGGTCTTTGCAGCCTGCCGGGACCCCAAGGGAAAGCAAGCACAGGTGAGGCTGGTGGTGGTGGGGGGCAGCAGGGCAGGGCAGTGCCTGGTGCAGGAGCAGCCCCGTGGTGCGAATAGGAGATGTGTGAGGGTCTCCATCATGGGGCTGCAGCCCTGAGCCCAGTCCAGGGGCACAGAAAGCTGGGGTAGGATGACCATGGGATGAGCTGTGCCCGGGGTGCCCAGGGCTCCTCGGAGCCAGGCAGGGAGCTTCTGCTGCTGGGGCAGGTGATGGCCATGGTGGGCAGGGCGAGACACGAGGCTTGTGGGGTGTGCGGGATGCGCAGAGACCTGTCCACAGGGAGCAGGTTGGCAGAGCAGGGTGCTGGGTGTGAGGCGGTGCTGGATCAAAGCCGAGCCTCTGTGCAGCCAGCCCTGCCTCTTTGTGCCCACGTTGTGCCGTCTCTTTCAGGAGCTGCAGAACTTGGCTTCCAAGCACCCCAACCTGGTCATCGTCCCACTCGGTAGGTGCCCAGGCTGTGCCCCGAGGCTGAGGGTCCCTTGCCTGGGCTCCCTGCTCTTGCCTGGGCTCTCTGCTCTCCCTCTCCACCACACCCCCGGGGTGGGGGCTCCATCTCCCAGCACCACGTGTGGTGGCAGCTGCCGAGGGGATCGGATGCTCACCTCCCCACCTTGGCTCTGCAGAAGTCACCAAGCCCGCCAGCATCAAGGCAGCTGCAGCCAGCATCGGGGAGCGCCTCAAGGACTCGGGTCTCAACCTCCTCATCAACAATGCTGGCATGCTGGTTTACAAGACGCTTGACACTGAGACACAGGAGGACATGGCCCAGGTGTACGCCACCAACACCATTGGGCCCCTGCTGCTGAGCCAGGTGAGGCCCCCACCACAGCTCCAGGAACATCCCTGCCCCTTGGATCTCCCAGGGGGACGGAAAGGGCTGGTGGGACAGGGCCCCTGCTGGGTCTTTGACCTCATGACAAGCCAACACACTTCAGGTCTTACTCTGGCCTCCTGATGCAAGAAGCAGGTGCCCAAAGTAGTCCTGGAAATGCTGAGCACAGTGAACGCTTTCTGGTTTGACTACGGTGGGCAGCAGGCTGAGGGCTCTGGCACTTTGGAGCCTGGGGCCCCTCCACTGGGAAGGATCAGAGTGCAGAGGTGTGGGACCATGTTAAAGAGCAGAACCTCCCGTTTTGAGCCAGAGGGAAACAGAATTTACCCATTGACTTGGTGCTGAGCACTGATGGGTGACTAAGTGCTATTGTGGTCTGCCCAAAGAGGTTATGGAGTGTCCCTCCATGGAAATATTCAGAAGTCACTTGGACATGGTCCTGGACTACTGGCTCTAGGTGGCTTGAGTAGTCCAGATGACCTCCAAAGATCTCTGCCTCCCACAACAATATTGTGATTCTGGGCTTCTGATGTGACCTTCGATGTAAGGAACTAATTCTCTCAATGAACCTCTTTTTTGCACGCTCCTCCTTCCCCTTCTCACAGGAATTCCTACCCCTGCTGAAGAAGGCTGCCCAAGGGAGCCCAGGCTCCGGGCTGAGCTGCAGCAAGGCAGCCATCATCAACATTTCCAGCGTTGGCGGTTCTATCAAGGAAGTCCATATGTGGAAATCTGCACAATGTGTCTCATATCGCTGCAGCAAGGTATGTGCAGTGCTGGGCACGAACCCAACCTTCTTTTTTTAACCAAAGCCTGCATAAGCCCTCCAGAGTCATCTCCGGCAGTCCCTATAATAGCCTCCAGCATGGCTGAGCTCCAGTCGGTCACTGGTTCCCTCTCAAGGCACATCCCTGTGCCCGGTCCCAGACCTAATCAAGAGGATCTTCATAGGACAGAGCTGTTGCAGGGAACTGGTCCTGCCTGCCCCGGCTGTGGGGTCTGCACGTGTCCCCGTGCAGGCACCTTCTCCTCCCCACCCTGATCCCTGCGGTGTCTCCTTGCAGGCTGCTCTGAACATGCTCACCAAGTGCCAGTCCTTGGGCTATCGGGAACACGGCATCCTCTGTGCTGTTTTTCATCCTGGCTGGGTACAGACAGATATGGGGAACACAGCTGGAGACAAGGTAGGAGCTTTACTATGGTGGGTCCATCCAAGCCCCTGTGCTGGTTTTCCATGGGAGGCTGTTGTCACCCCGAGCTACATGTTTTTCTCTGCCCCTGCAGCCCCCTGTGACAGTAGATGAGAGTGTAGGAGGGATGCTGAAGGTGATGTCCTCCCTCTCCGAGAAGGACACCGGGACCTTCCTGGACTGGGAAGGGAAAGTAGTGCCCTGGTGAGATGCTGGCCCAGCCTCATGCCCGGATCCTGGCAGCGGCCCCTCTGCTGCTGCCCAACCTCCCCCACATCCTCAATAAACTCTTTTCTTAAAACAGTAGTGTTGCCTTATCTGTCTGTGCACTCGATGGACTCTGCCACACATTGTGAGTCTGTGGAGTTGGGCTCCCCAGAGCTGGGGGCCACATGGGTGATTTGGGAGCACAAGATTCATCCACCGAAAGGTCCCAGTGGGTGCCCAGGTAGCTGAGGGCACAGAGCAACTGGTGGTCGGTGCAGGCAGTTGGGGTGCAGGGCACTGTGCAGCCACACATCGGGTGGGGGCCCGCAGCAGCAGAGGACCCAGCACCGCTGCCCCTTCCCTGCACAGCATGGTGGTACCTGCCCTGTCCCCACATTGGTCTTCACCCAGACAGGATGGCTTGCCACACAAAAGAGTCCCTTGTCCCTGAGCTCTGCAGCCAGGCACCTGGTCACCATGTTCTGGGCAGCCTGGAAGAGGCACGGCCATGCCAGCACCACACTGGGCTCAGGGAGCTGGGTACACGTGGGTGGGAGGGGGGCATTTTGCAGCTGAAGGGCTGTGGAGGTGGGAAATGGGCTTTGCCCTGCTGTGGAGCATGGGCATAGCCTGGGCTGGTGCTCTGCGTGCTCACCCTTGGAGGACCAGGCTGGAGATGGGTGGCCTGGGGCAGGTGGGGGGGTCCCATGAGCTCCCTCCATGGTCCCCAGAGCCTCCCCCAGCCCCTCACCTTGCTGGCACGGTACGGGTACATGGGGACCTCCAGCACCCCGAGGCACAGCCCGATGGAGCCCACTTTTGAGGACACGTTGATGATCGCGGCCCTGCTGCAGCTCAGCCCTGTCTTCTGTGCACTTTTACCACCCTAGAATCAGAGGTGGAGCGGAGTTTTGACTCAGGACATGCAATCCAGGAGTCATCTAGGTTGGAAAAGACCTTCAGGATCATCATATCCAACTGTCAACCAGACCCAACCTGACCGATTCAAGTCCCATCACTAAAACATGATCCTTAGTGCCACGACCCTATGTCTCTTAAATACCTCCTGGGATGGGAAATCTACCACTTCCCTGGGAAGCCCATTTCAAACCTTGGGCAATTTCCCAGCCACTCCTCCCCGGGCCTGTACCGCGGCACGGGGTTGTTGGGACCCACACGCAGCATCCAGCACTTGCTCTTGTTGGATGTCTTGAGGTTGGACTTGGTCCATCAACCCAGCCTGTCCGGATCCCTCTGCAGAGCCTTCCTGCCCTCATGGAGTTTGACAGTGCCACCTACCTTGGTGTCACCTGTGAACTTAGTGAGGGTGCACTCCATCCCCTCCTCCTGATCACTGCAAAACTTGTGGAACAAAACTGGCCCCAAGAATGAGCCCTAGGGAATGCCAGTGGTGACCGGCCACTGGCTGGTTTTAACCCCATTCCCTGGGAGCCTTTGAGCCAGTTTTGCAGCCAGCGAGCCACACACCTGTCTGAGCCCTGAGCCACCAGCTTCTCCAGGAGAATACTGTGGGAGATGGTGGCAAATACATGACTAAAATCCAGGTAAACAACATCCACAACTTTGCCCTCATCAGCTATTTTTCTCCCTGCACAGACTGACCACAGTTTGGCAGTCCTCCTGTGTTGCCCGCCCCTTTTTCCAAAGTCCGTAGACTCCCTTTTCCTTCCTAAGTTCCAGAAGAAGCTCTCTGGTCAGCCAGGGTGGCCTTCTCCCCCAGTGGCTCCACCGTTGGTGCTTTGGGGTGTCCTGCTCCTGTGCATTTAACATTACATTCTTGAAGAATGTCCAACCTCCCTGGACCCCTTTGCCTCTCAGAACCACCTCCCGGGGGACTCTGTCAGCCAGGTCTCTAAATTGGCCAAAGTCTGCCCTCTGGAAATCAAAGGGCAATCCCAAGCACAAATACAGGCAACAAGAGCCAGCAATGTGCGCTTGCAGCCCTCTCTATTCTGCTCTTGTGAAGACCCCACCTGGAGCCCTGCATTCAGGTCTGGAGCCCCCAGCACAACAAGGGCATGGAAGTATTAGATCAAGTCCAGAGGTGGGCCACAAAGATGATCAAGGAGCTGGGGCACCTCTCCTATGAAGACAGGCTGAAGGAGTTGGGGTTGTTCAGCCCAGAGAAGAGAAGGCTCTGAGGAGACCTTCAGTACCTAAAGGGGGTCTACAGGAAAGCTGGGGAGGGACTCTTAATGGGACAAGGAGTAATTGCTTTAAACTAAAAGAGGATAGGTTTAGATTAGATATAAGGAAGAAATTCTTTACTATGAGGGTGGTAAGGCACTGGAACAGGTTGCCCAGAGAAGCTATGGATGCCCCGTTTCTGGAAATGTTGGATGGGACTTTGAGCAACCTGTTCCAGTGGGAGGTGTCCCTGCCCATGGCAGGGGGGTTGAAATCAAATGATCATTAAGGTCCCTTCCAACCCAAATCATTCTGATTTTATGTTCTGCTAACTGCCTTCCTAACTTCACTAGGGATCAAAAACGCTGTCATTTTGATCACTGTGCCCAAGATAACCTCCAACCATCCCATCACCGACAAGTCCTTGCCTGTTTGCAAATCACAGGTCAAGTGGGGCACCTTCCCCAATTGGCTTCCTCACCATCTGAGTCTTCTGTCACCCACCCTTATCCTTTTTAGGTAAGTTCTGTGTCCCTGTGTGTTCTTTATGGCTTCCTCACTTTCTCCATATGTGGTTTTGCACTGGAAAATGGCCTTGAACAGATACCTCTGGAGCAAACACTGACCTTCTACACACCTTACAAGCTGAGTTTGCCATAAAAAGCAAAGCGATTTTTGTTTGTTAGTAAGGAGAGATGGCTCCCAGCCAGAAACTGTGTCCTAGAGAGTTCAAAGAGCTGGAGAGATTGCACCTAGAGCCAAGGGTTTGTGCAAGCCCCATGTGGGTGGGGTGGCAGCTCGACACACTATAAGAAGCATTAGGGAAGTGAAGAAACAATGAACGTTGGAGCAGAGGCAGGAGAAGCAATATGGGAGAGCTTCGTGTCCGCTCCGTTCTGGTGACTGGAGCCAACCGAGGAATCGGCCTGGGGTTAGTCCAGCACCTGCTGGGGCTGCCAAATCCACCCGAGTGGGTCTTTGCAGCCTGCCGGGACCCCAAGGGACAGCGAGCACAGGTGAGGCTGGTGGCAGTGGGGGACAGCAGGGCAGGGCAGCGCCCGGTGCAAGGCAGGATTGTGTGAGGGTCTCCGTCATGGGGCCGCAGTCCCATGAGCCCAGTCCAGGGGCACAGAAAGCTGGGGTAGGACGGCCATGGGATGAGCTGTGCCTGGGGTGCCCAGGGCTCCTTGGAGCTGGGCAGGGAGCTTCTGCTGCTGGGGCAGGTGATGGCCATGGTGGGCAGGGAGAAATGTGTGGTGTATGGAGGGAACAGGACACTGGGTGTGAGGCAGTGCTGGGACAAGGCTGAGCCTCTGTGCAGCTGGTCCTGCCTCTCCATGCCCACATCATCCTGTCTCTTTCAGGAGCTGCAGAACTTGGCTTCCAAGCACCCCAACCTGGTCATCGTCCCGCTCGGTAAATGCTGCAGCTATGCCCTGCAGATGAGGGTCCCTTGCCTGGGCTCCCTGCACTGCACACACCACTGTGGCCCCCAGCACCATGCGTGGTGGCAGTCCCTGATGGGATCGGGTGCTCACCTCCTCACCTTGGCCCCGCAGAAGTCACCGAGCCCGCCAGCATCAAGGCGGCTGCAGCCAGCGTCGGGGAGCGCCTCAAGGACTCGGGTCTCAACCTCCTCATCAACAATGCCGGGATTGGAAATAACAGTTCTCTTGACAACGTGACACAGGAGGACTTGGCCCAGATGTATGCCACCAACACCATTGGGCCCCTGCTGCTGAGCCAGGTGAGGCCCCCACCACAGCTCCAGGAACATCCCTGCCCCTTGGATCTCCCAGGGGGACGGAAAGGGCCGGTGGGACAGGGCCCAGCTCCGCTCTTGTGCTGGTGACGGGCCCGGCACTCCCGAGCTGCCACAAGAAGCTGGTGGAACCGACTGGGGCTGGTGCTGAGGGGCAGGGGGAAGAGGAAGGCGGCTGCTGGCGGTGCTGGTGGCGGCGCTGCCCGCTGTGGAAGGAGCCGGTCCTCTCCCCTGCACCGCCTCTGTGTGGACCCCCCGCTTCTCCTCTCCTCACAGGCGTTCCTGCCCCTGCTGAAGAAGGCTGCCCAGGGGAGCCCGGGCTCAGGGCTGAGCTGCAGCAAGGCAGCCATCATCAACATGTCCAGCTATGCTGGCTCCATTCAGGACGTCTATGTCTGGGAATATGGACAAGCTATTTCATATCGCTGCAGCAAGGTACTGCTGGGCACGAACCGGGACATTTTCCCTTCTGAAGGATCTTGCACACCTCCCAGCCTTCCCCTCAGTCCCTGCAACTCTCACCGCTGCGGCTGAGCCCCAGTCAGTCACTGTTTTCCTGCCATGGCACATTCCTGTGCCTGGTCCCTGGCCAGGCCACAGAAAGCCTTGTCAGGACAGGTTCTTGCCTGGGCTGGGCATCTGCATGGGGAGAGTGCTGTGGGGTCTGCATGTGTCCCTGTCTTCTTCTCCACCCTGATCCCTGAGGTGTCTCCTTGCAGGCTGCTCTGAACATGCTCACCAAGTGCCAGTCCTTGGGCTACCGGGAACACGGCATCCTCTGTGCTGCTTTCCATCCTGGCTGGGTGATAACAGACATGGGAGGCACAATAGAAGATAAGGTAGGAGAGTTTTTGGAAGAACCTCTTGTTTTGGGAATGTAGAGCCTGCTGTGGATTGAACACTCCGGTACATGCTGGGCTGTGGGATAACTCTTTGGAAGATACCCTGAGGCATATGAGGGGATGAGATGACAAGACAAGGACTCTTCTTGTTTTGTGCTGGCCTTTCCTTCTTTACCCTAGAGAGCCCCAAGCCCTTGTGCAGGGAGGCAGTGATCCAAGCAGGCACCAGGGCAGACCCTGGCCACTCCTTGGGCACACACAGTTGTGTTTCTGTCCCCACAGACCCGTGTGACAGTGGATGTGAGTGTGCGGGGGATGCTGAAGGTGATGTCCTCCCTCTCTGAGAA